TGTACGATCTGTAGGAGACTACCTGTAGGATACTATCTGTAGGATACTATTTGCAGGATACTATCTGCAGGATACTATCTGTAGGATACTATCTGTAGGATACTACCAGTAGAACACTATTTGTATGATACTACCAGTAGGATACTATTTGTAGGATACTCTCTCCAGGATACTATCTGTAGGACACTATTTGTAGGAAGATATCCCTAGAAGAGTATTTGTAAGATGCTCTCTGGAGGATACTATTTGTAGGAAGATATTAGTAGAAATACTATCTGTAGGATACTATTTGTAGGATACTATCTGTAGGATTCTACCTGTAGGATACTATCTGTAGGATACTATGTGTAGGAGACTATCTGCAGGATACTATCTGTAGGAGACTACCTGTAGGATGCTATCTGTAGGCTACTATCTGTAGGATACTATTTGTGGGATACTACCTGTAGGATACTATTTGCAGGATACTATTTGTAGGATACGATTTGTAGGATACGATTTGTAGGATATTATTTGTAGGACACTATTTGTGAAACAAACTTGTTTGTGCAGTGAAAACTGTAAGGAGAGAGACTGCTGTTAGGGAGGTTGTGACTTGTCATGTGATGACATGATCTCTCAAGTGACCCCCTGAGCACCAGCTAGATCGGTGCGCACATGTTTCTTGAGTGGCTCCTCTTGGGAGCCTTTCTTTGTGGTGTGATCGTTGGGGGCCTCGCGACACGTTGGCTGTTTTACGGATCTGTGTGCTGGCAGCCATTGTGTGTATGCATTGGGCCATCCGCCTTTGCGGCCTTGCAGTGGGAGTCTCGATCTTAGGTTCCAATGGCGGGTTACGGCCTGCCGGATGCTGCTACCCTAGCTGGCTTGGATACAGTGGCTCGCATTCGCACCCACTGCTCATGCAGCGAGCAAGTCTGGAACGCGGTCGATCAGGCTCTTGGAGGTGTCGGCTCCCCGACTTTGCTTGCAATGTTGCCTGCCAGCACCCTTCGACAGACATTGAGGGCCGTGAGGGTTGGTGCGGAACCGAACCGCAGGGAGTTGCAAGCCATGGAGATGATCCATGTCGCTCACATGTGGCGTGTTTCGAGGCAATCCCTGCAGATGACAGACTTGGACCCATTACCAGATCCTGTCCCAGTCATGGCAGCCCCAGCAGCTCCACCTCATGCTGGGGCCTCACCCACGAAGAAAGTGAAAGTGTCCGGATCAAATGGACGACCCCGAGAGATCTCATGACACGAACAGAGTTGGACCAAGCTCACCTATGGCACATATATGACGGGCGCAGAACCGAGCGACGATGCAGAACCCACCTTAGCTGCATTGCGAGATCGAATCGTCCGCCGAGGAGAGAGCCCTTATGCCGATTTCAGCATCCTCACACCTTTTGGACGCACGATGCAGAAGCAGCTCAAGACGAGGTCGTGGTAGCTGCAACAGGATGGAACGTTCAAGGCCCTGGACATACCGGGGCCGCCATCGATCGAGGCCTGGAAAGCATGCTGGAAGGTGTTCAGAGCCATTCTCTTCATGCTGAGGTATCCCCCGGAGGTGGCAGGTGGAGACCATACGAAGGTGGTGACTTCGGCATGGAAGAATACTATGACCGAATCTCCCGAATCTCCAAGCTGAACCAGAACTTTCCAGAGACCTGGCACCCACGCGCGCCCCAGCAGCAGCAGGTCTGGCACTGCAGGTAGTTCTGTGGTGTGGGACGTGTTGGGAGAGCCGTGGGAGATTCTGTCAGACGAGCGCGAGACAGGGCACAGCTGCTGGGCAGTACCACCACCTTGCATCATGGCTCCGGCCCCACGAACAATGTCCAAACGCGCCGTGTCCAGGGACTCTGGGAATCGATCGTCGTCGTCGACTCGCTCCACCTACACCTGCTCAGAACAAGAGGTTGAAGGGTTTGTTGAGTGCCGCCCTCCAGTCCGCAGAGATGAAAGAGAAGGCTCAAGCTGAGTACATGGACTCTGTCTATGCTCAGCATGAGACAGACATGGACCATTACGAACCTGTGCCACTTACTGCGCCGCAGATTCATGAAGTGTGAGCAGCTTTGCGGGCAGCAGGACACCGTAGTGCCACTGCGTGCATTTGTGAGGCCTTCGAAGAAAGGGCTTTCCCACCACCGATGTACTGCGTGGCAATCAGAAACGCAAAGAGAGCAGTCGCCCGTGCTTTAGGACCTCCTCGTCGTGCGCCAGAAGTTCCGTTGAGATGGCTAGCAGTCATTCGTGAGGGGCCCAGAGATCAGTCGTGTGGTGCCTGGCCGAACGACCGATACGAGGTTTGGGCGTTCGCGACCAGGTTCATTGAGAGAGCAAGAACTTGCCTGTATCTTCATACAGGAAATTGAAATGAACCACAGGCTTCAGCAGGTCACCCTCAACCTCCCGGTGACGAAGAGCGACGCAATGGGTCGCGGAGCTCGCAGGACCTTAGGTTGCGTTTGTTCGAAGCGCCCTAAAGAGAAGGCAACGTGCCCATACTGCATTGCCAACTACCTGCTGCAGCGCCAAGAGAGGCGATTGGGAGTCCAGACGAGTTCAGCGGAAGCCTTTGAGGCGCCTTTGGTCGGAAGACAAGAGGACCCAAGGTTGGTAGTTGAGAAGTCTGCCATGATTGAGGCCTTCCAGTATGACATGGGCATCCTCAGCGACATATTTCCTGAAGCTCATGGACTGCTGGCAACAGATGTCACTGGCCACACTTTCCGACGTTTGGGAGTGAAAGAGCTGGCTCGGAAGAACGCACCGCTCCTGTTGATCCAGTTCTTTGCCAGGCATTCACCAGCAGCAGTCCTAGAGGAGGCCTATGAGGAATGCCCTGACGGCAACCTTCAGGTCCTCAACCACTTAGAGATGAGGGACCAGATCGCCTCATTGTCCGGAAAGACGAACGATATGTCAAAGGCCTACGACCAGTTGAAGGCCGAATGTGAAGAGCTCGCAGCAAAATGCAATTTGCCCTTGGATCGGTCAGCCATATTGAAAATGTTTAATCAGTGGAGTCGCCCGGAAGTGGTGATCAATCTGATGACAGGCAAGACCCACTCCACGGCAGGAAATTCATTGCGAAACCACCCTAATGAATGGGTGACGGCGTGAGGGTGGCCATGGATTGCAGCAGAGCGGCGCTAGAGCCCGCTGACTTGCCAAATTCGGATCGAGTGACACCGTGTGAGCGGTGTAAGGAGAAGTTGCCGGAATGGGCAAGACCTGAAGCGATCCAGTAGAAGAGATGGACCACAGCAGGGGTATGAAAAGGGTGTTTTTTGAGTTTTTGTCTCGCGTCGCTCGTTACTGCACTTTGATACAGTTCGTTGATCGACCGAAACTGGATATGAGGTCACAAGGACAACACGCGCAACATCCCTGCTTCCGGGAACCCAGCCAGTTTCAGGCCCGATAGTTCGGGGGGCTCAAAGCGGTAGATCGCTTGAGAAGCAACATGCACCCATGCAGTGGACAACTCGCAGTAAAACAACCGCATGTGCACTAGACACTTGTGAAAGAGAAGGGTTGTTTGTGTATATAGATATAGAATTAAAAGGGTGGTAGGGGGTGTTAGCTGTGAACGACTGTAACAGTTTTCGTTCGATACTACCTGTAGGATACTACCAGTAGGATACTATTTGTAGGATACTATCTGTAGGATACTGTCTGATACATTCAATTATTGATGGATGATTTCCACCATGAAGCGCATCATGCATGATGTTTAGCTTTAGTTTTTGACGAATTTATCTGGTGGGGTTGCCAGGTTGCAAGCGTGGTGGACCCTTTGGCGAACGTGTGTTGTGATAGGTCCCTCAGTTTGGATGGCATCCTATCTACTGAATCTATTGGCGTGACAACCTTTGAATTTCTTTGGTTGCTTGATGTGGCTCTGACCAATGTTGCACTTGTATTTCAAAATGGCGGAACAACCTGACCTTTGCCTTTCAATGAGCGGAATTGCCGCAACTGGAACGCAGGTGAGGAAAAACATTGTCTCAGCGCTTGCGGCTTGCAAATTGTCACATTTGTCCTGTAGACTTAATGTCACTCTGAGTACAACTCAGAGCATCCTCACATTCTCATTCTCAGGGCACTACAGAGGAATATAAGTCTGAGAGTTTCTGGATGATGATGATGACGACGAGGAGGATGATGATGATGATGACGACGAGGATGATGATGATGATGATGATGACGAGGATGATGATGATGATGACGAGGAGGATGATGATGACGATGACAAAGATGATGACAAACATGATGATGATGATGACGATGACGATGACGATGACGAGGAAGATGATGACGATGATGATGATGATGAGGAAAATGACGAGGTTGATGATGATGATGACGACGAGGGTGATGATGAGGATGACGACGATGATGATGACGAGGGTGATGATGATGACGACGAGGATGATGATGATGATGACGAAGAAGAAAAAGATGACGATGACGATGACGAGGATAATGATGACGAGGGTGATGATGATGACAAAGATGATGATGACGATGACGAGGATGATGATGACGAGGGTGATGATGATGATGATGACGAGGATGATGATGATGACGAGGCTGATGATGACGATGTTGATGACGAAACAGATGATGATGATGATGACGATGATGAGGATGATGATGACGAGGAAGATGATGATGATGATGACGATGACGAGGATGATGATGATGATGACGAGGATGATGATGATGAAGATGACGAAGAAGAAAATGATGATGACGATGACGATGACAATGACGAGGATGATGATGATGATGATGACAAACATGATGATGATGATGACGATGACGATGACGAGGAAGATGATGACGATGATGATGATGAGGAGGA